AAGAAGACGAAGACTGAAGCGAGATTTATAGAGTCCTATATCAATAAATTCTGAGTATGGCTTTCCAATCCTATTAGCAACTTTTTCCACAAAACCTTTAAGATCTCTATAGTCAATAAAACAGGCATGGGGATATACAATATGCCAGCTACATTTATTGGCATTAGACGAACTAGCTAAGGCAAAATCATTTAAAGTTATGTGGTGTTTTAAATCGGTATATATAATATCGGCACAGGCAATTAAGATCCTGGATAATAAATCTTCACGAGAAATTTTATATCTATCTAAGGAAGGGAGTTCAGAATTCATGGGATCGGGGTACTGCCTTGCATCGATGTCCAGAACTGGGTGAAGAGGTAGACTTCCATCAATACATTCGTGGGTGTCGGGTAGCCCATAAACTTTGGAAGGATGATCAACTATAGTAAACCCCTTTTCTGCCACTCGAATTATATATTGGGAATAAAGCTCTTCGGGTTTGTATACTTCCAAAAGTGCAGTATCATTTCCATCGGATTTAAGCCAATATTTATGATACGTATATTTTTCATGGTTAGGTTTATAATCAAGATTCGTTAAACCTGTGAGAAGCTTTTTTGCCTCATTATATTCGGCTGACTTTTGATTTAAGCGCTGTTGTTGTAATGATTCACGAAGACGTTTTTTTGCTTCACTAGACAAACTCATGTATTGATTTGTATGTTGTTTGTATATGCAGTATATAGTTATAAACTAAAAGTATTATACTTAACCCGAAAAACTTCAAAATGAAATTAATTATTCTATATCATTATTATTGACAATAAATATGGGACTCTATCGTTGTCCTTATATTCTTAGAACTGGTAAAGTCTGTGGTCGAGGTTGTAATCAACCAGAAGGATGTAAACTTCATCGAAATTCTCCTACACGGATTCCTTGTAAAGAATATGGTTGTGGTAAGCTAACTTATTCTAAATATGGTGCATGCCGGAATCATGCAAGTAAGTATCGAAAAAGAGAATATTATCAACAAAAAAAGCAGGATGAATTGTGTATCAAATTGCTATGATTGAGAATCATATACCCGACTTACCCGATTCTAGACATGAAGTATAATCATGTGCTTGGCATATACCGATTATTTTTTCTTTCTTAGCCACAAATGTGTATCACAAATAATACATGTCATAATTTACATTGATAATTAACTATTTGTAGCTTTATCAATAACACAGTTTTTTACAGATTAAACAAATAAAACATGTGTTACTCAAAAGGTCAAAGTCTTGGGACATGATAAAGTTATTTAAAAAATCTTTTTTTTCTTTTGTCCATATCAACAGATAATGCTTATAACAAACAAATTTGAGATTATTAAATAGTTTATACAGTGAACATGATATGGTGACTGGCAACAGTTAATGTATTTCCGCATTCCAGCAAACATGTTCATGCAATACATTGTTAATTATAATAAACAAATTCTATAAAAATTAAACAAGGTCTCCAAGGAAATGATTTATCCATTCCTTGACCACAATTCAGGACAACAAATCACTTTGTTACGAAACGGATTTAATTCGAGTCTATTTATTGATCATATTCTTTTTTGAAACAAAACAAAAAATTGGTATTTTTTGGAATTAAATTAACATCTCTAATCTGGACACATCGTTGCAAATATATTCATTAAATTAGGAGCAAACATATTTGGAGAAAACATTCAATATAATAATGCCTTTAAGAGGGATTTAAAGTCAACACTTTCCACTTAAGAAGATACTTCAAAAATTTGATAAAGATAAATGAAGGGAAATTGGTTTATTCCGCCAATATTTAGAAAACATTAGTTAAAGGAACCAATTTACTCCACATCTTACCATTTCTACCAGTGCTACATATGTAATATTTGATATCAAGCATGACATATGCACTGATTTTGTTTGAACCCCAAAATTCTGTATGGTATGATCGTAATGTTATGAATACTTTATACTAGCAAAAGCCCATCGGTTTGACATGCTATCGAATAGTAAAATAGTTTTTTTAACAGAGCAAATAAATTTGTTTAGAACTATCATTTTACTGACCAGTTTACACATCATGTTTAATGAGTTTAACATCGAGACACAATAAGATATAAGGTTTGAAAAAGGATCCAAAAAATCAAATTGGCTGATATGCAATATTTTGATCTCAAATTCATTTAACTCTACATGTATAATCAAGAATTAATAATTATAATCAAGCAATTGGCTCCAACTCTTCATCTTCGCCTATTTTTGACAGTGCAATAATTTTTTATTTGATCCATTTATACTAAGCTTATTTACATATATTAATATAAATAAATATTGTCTCATAAAAATAAATAAATCACTAGAGTTTATATTTTTAAATATAAAATGGCCCAAAAATAATACAACAAAATTATTGAAATGTGTAAAAAACGAAAAATAAAAAAAAGGTATAAACTTCGGGAAATTTTCTAGAGACACTGGTGACACTGGTGACACTAGTCGAGAACAGTTTCTTTCGCTCCCAAAGTTCCAATAAGTATAATAGAAGTGTCTCTAGTATTTTTTTTTTATCTAGTGACAAATTTTTATAGGGTCGAGTGTTTGAAAATATAGTTTACTCGGCCTCTTTTACCTCAATTCCATCTTGAGCTAGCTTTTCAAGCTTTTTCCGGTAGTATTCTGCCATTCTTTGGTGTTTTTTAGCATGAGCATATGTGGTTCGAAATAAAAAAACTTATCATTATCATCATCATCGTGCAGATCAAGAAACACCTTCAGGTACAAAAAAACCATCATTAAAACTTGTAATTAATGAAACGTTTGAAAATCAAGAAAAGGCCCTTCCAACCCCCCCCCCCAAAAAAATAGAATGATCCAGAATTACAGATTCAAATGATCATTTTGTATGGGGGATCTACTAGATATGTGTACATCTAAACAAAGATTTACTCGTACTGAAGTTTATGAAGCAATCCAAATATTTCAATTCAACTATATCTTTACGAATTTTTTTTTCTAGCAAAGTGATAGGTGTAAAGATTCTTTACATGCACGTGATTTTTTTTGAATGTACTAAAATTCTAAAAATAACACTTACACAGAAATCCATATAATGAGATACTAAGGATTAACCAACTTATTCAGATTGTTGAAAGTGAAAGGATAATTGTCAATATTTCCAGAATCGTTACAATATGAATATGAAATTTTGAAATGATTAAACATCGTACCAAGTGCCGCCACTTCATTCGGTGCCCAATCTCTGGCATCGATGACAACGTCATTTTTATGTCCATGCATCAATTTTGATGAATGGTGGTAAAGTCCACCGATGCATTTTCGAACATCTTCATAACGAAGACTATTAAGTTTACACATCCGCTTTAGTAATGACACAAATAATTGATCTTCTGTTAATTTATTTAAAGCTTTGTCTGCAGGCTCAGAAAACAAGATTGTATTGGTTTTCATCAAGAGCTATTGTCAGTACGTAAGTAAATACATTGTGGTTAAAATAACTGCAAAAACAGTTTATATTGACAAATATACAGATTGCTACCTGTGCTCGTATAAACTCCATTGCTCCCCTTATATCACATATTCTTCTTGAGCGTAAAAGTTCTTGCGTACGATCCCTAAGTGTGTTCTCAACTTTTCTCAATTCATCCATAATATCGAGTTTTTCTCCTTCTTTTTTTTCCATAATATCAAGTTTTTCTCTTTCTTTTTTTTCCATGATATCGAGTTTTTCCTCTTTTGTTTTTTCCATAATATCAAGTTTTTCTCTTTCTTTTTTTTCCATGATATCAAGTTTTTCTCTTTCTTTTTTTTCCATGATTTCGAGTTTTTCTTTTTCTTTCTCCCCTTTTGTTTTTTCCATGATATCGAGTTTTTCTCTTTCTTTTTTTTCCAATAATTTTATATTTTGTATGCTGGATTTGGTTTGAATTGCAAATAAGTATTTATAGATTATTTCCAATTTTCTTGGCTGATCAGAAAATTCAGACGTTAGGGGAGATAAGTCTATTTCATTCATAATTGATATTACAGTTTCATTTGTGTCATTCGTGTTATTTATGTGATTTGCACCATTGAGAGAAGACGATATCCAACGTTGCAAGTACCAAGGACGGTATTTCTGTAAATGATAGTCTATGTTTAATGTTTGTTCAACAATGAGAAAAGCAAAAGATGAAGTATTGTTTGCTTACCACAAGCATAGGTCTCATTACGTACAACAATCGTGGATGCATGACTAAAAAATACTTTGTTGGTTACTGTTAATAAAAAATTGTTTGAATTGATATCTAATGTTGTACGAGTTCATTTGTCCAACATGTTATTACTATTAATACAGTTGTGATTGATTATGCAGGGATGGGTGATTGGGATGTTACACATCAGTATAAACACAAACATAGTTGAGCACACATATAAAAAATCATATGTGAGGATTTTTTATTGGGAAAATCCAGATCAATTTAACAATAACAAAAATAAAATAATATCGTTCATTGTAAATTTTCTTATAAATATTCTCCTAAAATTGCTTTTGTTGCTTCTTTTCCAAAATTCTTCTCATCACTAATCTCACACTTGGGTAAATAAATAAAAAAGCATAAATCTCAACCAGCAAATCTTTATTGATAATTGATTTTCACTTCTTTAAAATTAAAAAAATTACAAAAACATTGAATTTATTATATTCACAATAAGAACCTGAACTATTGCAAAAAACGTTTCAACATGATGATGATCTTTCTAAAAACGGATTTAATATATAAATCTAATAAATCTCTATGAAAATTTCAAAATCTATCTAGTCCACCAATCCTTCTCCTACAGTTATAAAAATAGTATCAAATAAAAGCTTGAAACTAGCTGTGCTATTATATTGTTAAGTATTCTTAGCTAAGATTGCCACAATCTACTAAGATACATATACATTATTAATAATATTTTTCGTATATAAATAACTCCCAACTTCAAATAGGTTCACCAATAACTATAGTCATAGTCCCTCGATGCTTGTAGTGTATCACGACATCTCTCACAAATCATCCAAGGATATTCGAGATTTAAAGACGCCGATTGGTTATAGTTTTTTTTTCCATGGGCATTTACCCGATAACGAGGGTAGCGTCTCATCAAATCTCCTATACTTACATTCTCGTCCTTTGCCACATAGGCTTTATGGATACCATCTACCATAATTTTTATCACATTCTTATCATACGTATTAGAAGGCTCCGGTTCAAGAGTGATGGTATCTGATTTCTTAAACTTATGACCACCACGAAATCTCATCCCTACTACCATAAAGGAGTGTGTAACAATACAATCTGTATATAATGGCGACGATGGTTCCTTACAACTACAACAAATATTAGGCATGATTAAAAACTATTATATTTTCTATACATAAAAAATACCCAAGTTCAAATAGATAGTCTTATTATCCAGCCCACGCATCCCGTAACCGCTCATTTTTCCTTTCCAACCCCCATGTGCGTCTCAATACCACGAACCATATAACTGCGATAATTAATAGAATAAGACAAATATATGCTGATAGCGGTGACATCAAAGTTCTTGCCACAGCAGGGATTGCTTCTATTCCTCCCACCGAAATCTGAGGATGCGATTCGATCAAAGAGGAAGTATGATTTTCCGGCTGTGCAAGGTGGGGTGTCACGTTCTTTATCTCTTGAACAAGTAATATATCTTTACTAATTTCGTTAATGTTAGTTTCCTCATTTATCTTAGAGCTGATCTCAGTATCGACTTTTGATGGTTCAGTAATCCCATCATGTCTAGTATGATCCGAGATATTACCATCGATTTTTCTAACTTGATCCATATTTTTTTTACGTATAAAATATTGACTGAGATTTTTGATAGGTTCACTAATTGCAGATATATCGTCAGACTTGGTTATGGAACTTTGTTCATCGCTCTGCATATTTTTTTCGACATCTCCACCAACGACGGGTTTTGATATAGTCTCCAATTTCAGACAGTCAAGTTCACTGACCTTTGAAGCTAACTCATGTTCTACTTCAGCTATTTTAGACCTGAGGGATAATATCTCGGATTCTTTTTTCGATGAGTCGTTTTGAATCGAAATCACATCTTTCTGGGCTGAAGACAACTTACTTTTCAATATCTTGATCACAAACTCGAGTGATTTGATTTTCTTGGATTTTGTAACATTCTCAGCCTTGGATTCAGCAAGAGAAAGATCTTTACAAATATTCTCAGAGGTAAGGTTAGTATTTTCAATTTTCAACCGCTTAGTCTCACCAATAAGTTCTGAAGCGTGGGTATGTAACTTCTGTTTATCACTATTAACATTATCAAATGCACTTTCCCATTGCTTTCTTTCCCGGTCCCACTGTTTTCTTTCCCGATCCCACTTCTTATTTTGTTTTAATTGAGTATCTCGCAATGTTTTATTGCAAGCATTTAATTCGGATATAATTTTTACACCATAACGCAATTCTTCATTGATATCCATAATATTAATAAAACTTGCTTCGTTAAAAAATTAAAAATTTTGAAAGCAATAGGAATATTTGATATATTTGATATATTTGATATATTTGATATGTTTTATTTTTTTTCGAATATTAGGGAACTCTTTTTTTATTCTACATATTTTTTCCGATATATTACATTTTTTCGATATATTACATTTTTCCGATATATTACATTTTTCCATTATTTTTTATATTTTAATATATTGTATTTTCCAAATAAAAATAGCTACTGTGTAGTTACTTCCAGCATTATGGTTAGACCACGTATAAAATTTGGCACACCTTTATTTTCTTCAGCAGATTATGATTATATTATGCAATGCCGTGATTTGGAACCAAGAAATGAAATTTTAAAGGATTTATTAAAAAAATATAGAACATCATCAAAACGGATTTATCAAATCTGGAGAGAAGAAGCTAATAGGGTTGCTTGGGATCAACCTATACCTCAAACATATAATCACGATACTAAGTGTCTTGAGTCGGAGACTCGTGGCTTTGCCACTGACACTAGCTCCGCTAATATATCAAATTCTGCTACAGATGTTCTTCATATAGAATCCCTGTCTTTAGATAGAGATAAAGTCCCATTGCTATGTAGGACCGAAGAGTCAACCCTAAAGGGTTATAATATATCAGAAGAACCAAGTAAACGAACAAAAACAAAGAGATCCAAATCTGTTCGAAAATCCAACTTGCCTATTATCACCAAAGACTTAATAGAAAAAATAGATGAAAAGCCTGCATATTCTACAGATACATTAGCCTCTTTTAGACGTGCAGTAGAAGAAGGCAAGGAAAATTTATCAAATTCGAAATATAAAATTGATGAGTTATAATCTCCGAATTTTGTCTATTCTATTGCAAAGCAGGGCGACCCTACTCTCTATTTTCTTTACCAGGTAATCCAATGTAGTGATAAACAAGAGTATTAAGATTAGTGATAATTTTTGTTGCATCATACATTTCTTTCTCATACCTCTCGCAATTTACGCATTTTTTTTTAACACCTTTGGTACTTGCTCTGCTAATGATGAATCGTCAGAATCTGGGATAAAACGCACAGGAGCATGCCATTCCTCCAATGTTATATTGTCATCCTTATCACTATCTGTCTCTTGAGAAATTTGATCAGATACCGAAGACTTATCATTCTGAGATGCGGTAGCGCAATTTACTTCAAGATTATTTTTTACCTTGTGCATAGTTACTGGAATAATGTGATCCTTCCCATTGAAAGGAATTTTCAATTCATCTTTCCCCCAATCTATAGCGCA